ATAAAATACAGCTTGAATATTTTGGTACAAAAAATATCAAAAATATCATAATACAAATAATATTACAAATATTATCATACAAAATGATATCACAAATATTATCATACAAATAATATCACAAATATTATCATACAAATAATATCACAAATATTACCATACAAATAATATCACAAATATTATCATACAAAATAATATCACAAATATTATCATACAAAATGATATCACAAATATTATCATACAAAATGATCTCACAAATATTATCATACAAATAATATCACAAAATATTATCATACAAATAATATCACAAATATTATCATACAAATAATATCACAAATATTATCATACAAATAATATCACAAATATTACCATTCAAATAATATCACAAATATTATCATACAAATAATATCACAAATATTATCATACGAATAATATCACAAATATATATCATACAAATAATATCACAAATATATATCATACAAATAATATCACAAATATTACCATACAAATAATATCACAAATATTACCATACAAATAATATCACAAATATATATCATACAAATAATATCACAAATATATATCATACAAATAATATCACAAATATATATCATACAAATAATATCACAAATATTACCATACAAATGATATCACAAATATTATCATACAAATAATATCCTAAATATAACAGAACTAACATCTCCTATTTTGTAAATTTAACTTTTATAATTAGCACTCTGCATAAATTTCAAATAAAAACTGAACAAAATTCTTTACATTTTTTTGCCAGTCATAAAATGGCCAACTTCTGGATTCCTTAAATCCTATAATTATAAATATGTATATATTCCAATAGTCGAAGCATCAAATTGTTATAGGAAGTATTGTATAAAAATAACTTCTCTATGTTTACTAAAGGTATGGAGTTCTGTAACTTTTCTGCATTAATCCCTTTTAAACAGTCACAATAACTCCTTATGTGTTTCACCTTTCTTCAGAAATATTTCAACAACACTTAAGATTTTACACAAACAAACAGATAAAAGATCTATATTACATAATACATTGTAAATCTGTGACAATATTAATTCCTTCCTTATTCTTACATACACAATAATTACTCCCCACTAAATATTTTCCGAATTATTTTCAACACTTTAAATCCATTTTTTTATCAATAAATCAATAGTTAAATCCTTAATCCAACTTTACAATTATTGTATCTAATTATTTATATATAAATTGTATGTATCACCATCAAAATGTTGTAGCTAGTTGAGGCGTCTTAAAAAGACATCATGTATCATTTAACAAAATTCGTGACCATACATTTAAATGTACGACTATAACTGTGTTTATATGCGACTTAATTTATAAATTTCATATCAAATGTCCGTCCGGCTGCGTTATTTTATCTTTGTCTTATCTGCATATAACTAAACAGTGTAAGAACGTTAATACAACTTATTCCTTTTAAGGCCCTCCAAAAATAAAGTTGTTTTCTTGTCTTGTCTCCCTTCTTACGGTACCCTCTTTTTTTCACTGCTGGCCTTTAATATTTTATTTGCATTTCTACTTTTACAAAATCTTTCCTTAGAAATATATATAATATTGAATATATCCAATAAAAATATTTAGAAAATGTTCAAGTTTTTTTTCTATAAATTTATACAGGAAATATTTTCATCAAGTGGTAAGAAAAAATATATTTCTCCAGAAGCAGTAGCCACATGTTAAATATGATAATTTGTATACCACAAGCTGGTTGTTGTATACTTTTCCCTTTTTTGACCTAATGATCAAAAAGACTTATGTTAAATTTTGTGTATTGGCTGAACTTCAAAGAAAGATGCATCAGTGAAAAACACAGAAAATATCTTTCATTGCAGTGAAAAATAATTTCTACAGTGAAAATATAGAAAAATGAAAATATGCATTTTATTTCATCATTATATTTATTTCATCATTATAAGATTTAATGAATAAGATTTCTCAATATTTCACTTACAAGTATAGCATAATAAATGAATAAATAAATATATAATGAAGAAAGAATTGCACAAATAACGTTTAACAAATTTGAATAATTTTGTTTGGATGTTTTTAAGGCTGAACTTCTTTTAACACAACATGATTTTCCTTTATTTGGTAATTGACCAATCTATGAATGACAATAAAATCAATAATATTTAATTGGTCCAATTGCGTCCCAAATTTTGAGGCAACTCTGTTTTTAGGGTTGACTTTAAGAGTTAGTTAAAACTGGGCTTCCAGCCAATAAGGTCATCCTTAAGAAAACATTTACATGAACTGTATTTAAATTGGAATTTCATGATGATTTTTGGTGTAAATAAAAAGAGACCTGCCTTATTACAACGCTCTCTTTTTATTTTGTTCAAATACCAGAATATATATTTTAGTTTCCTCAATCCACGCATAAGACAGAAGTTATCTAATCCAGAAACGAATTTACCTAAATTAACTACAATAAAATACTTAAAAGGAGCTAGTCCTGCCTTTTATAATATACCTTCTCTTTTTTTTTATTCAGTCACAAGAAACAGAACTATTTTTTTTCCTTGGCCTAACTTACAACCACTCCTGACCGCGTCTCATCGCTCGCACGCATACATTGTCGTATTATTACACATCACTGTTACATTCAGTACTTTATGTATTTTTATCCCTGTTGAAATACGGTCATCTCTTTAATAACAAAACTATTGTGCGTAAGGGTTTATAATTATACTTGACTATATTATATACTTACTAACATATTAACATAATTGACATCACCAATCGTCACCTATCAAATCATTATCTTTAGTCTATTATTATATTGTATAATGTCTATTCATTAAAAATATATACATCAGATACTAGGTATTCAATAATTACAGCACATTAATTATCTAGTCCAGACTATTTTTAACTTTGAAACATTATACCTCTGATTATGTCAAATAAAATATCAATTAATTAAAACATAATTTAAATGTTACTAATTGTTTGTAGTTAAAGGCCCATTATGCCTCAGATATGCTTTAAATTATTTTTTTCTCTCAAAAGCTTTTTAATTTTAGTGTAGTACTTTTATTATTAAGTATCCAAAAAGTCAGTCATTGGTCCATGAATTACCTGAATGATCTATTTTCATCTGTTTATTTTTAGCAATTATACAGGTAGTATAATTACAAGGTTATGGTCAATTAGTATTTTGTATGAAAGTGAAAATACTACTTTTACATTTTGCAACTTTTATGACAAAATAATTATATCACATTAATGCAGCTACTGTCTTTAACTTCAAGTACCAACCATCTAACGTTAACATTCTCTAAAACCATTATTTAAACATTATAAAATTCATGTTTGACCTTTCTTAAGTAAAAATTCATTTATTTCTGAGGCATTAAATGTGCCTTAATAAAATATCCTGTTGAAAATTGTCTTATAATTATGACTGTATGTTTGATATCATAAATTCATAAGTTTTCACTTTGCAATGTATTTGGTGTTCTTTTGTTATAGTGCTTCGTAAAATAATTGTTTAGTAATTCACCTTTAACATTAACCCTTATAGAATCAACCCATGTGATCAAGGGATTGAACCAAGATATCCGAGCCAGCACAATTTTGAGCCATCTGATCATTGTCAGAGTGCACTGTTCCCAATTCAGACAATGAATATTTTGGAAATTTCCCCTAAAAATAATAAATGGTTTTGTCCAGATTACAACATGGACAAGTCCATTTAAGGTATTTAGAGTGGTAAAAAGGTTATCTAGCCTGGCAGGCCTAATAACCTATAGCATAATTTATAATCTATTACAGTAATATTAATGTCTATTTAATTACCAAAGATGCATTCCGTGTTTCAATTATACACTGAAGTATGCAGTTTATTTAAGGATTATTAATTTATTATACAGTCATTAAACATATTGATTTCTTAAGACTTAACACAAGACTATATATATTTTTTTTTTAATCTCAACAGTTATGAAAAGAAATGTTCTTCATGGCAATCTATATCTAAACTTATCTATATCTTTAAGGCAAATCATTCTTCTTTTACAACTCTTAAATCCTTATAAGCTACAATGATATTAAGAATATATCTACATAATATATGGTAGGTATATCGGACCAGTATAGAGCATTTCCATGGCAGTTCAGCCTGTTCACTCCTGTCTGGTTCAGCCTCTGGTCCCAGTCCAGTCCAGTCTATAGCCCAGTCTGGTTCAGCCAATAGCGGTGTCTCTAAGTCCAGCCTAAAACTCAATAAACTCCAGTCTAGCTCAATCTAGTACAGCCTATAGCATATTGCCCAGTCAAGCCTACAGCCCAGTCCAGGCTCAAACTCACTTCATTCTAGCCTACAGCCAAATCAAGTCTAGCCTACAACTCAGTCCAGTCTAACCGTCAAGTCAAGTCCATAGCCCTGTTAAGGCGTAACCACTTGGACCCCCTAAAATCTCAGAATAAACTTTCATCATTATAGGCCTTACAATAACATGGAAATGATAGTGAACAAATGTTTGACACCAGTCAATATGCAAAGATATACATATATTTGATATCAGTTTGTAAAATCTGCCAGTCTTGCTGCCAAAATATTGAAACAAATATAACTTAATCAGATTCATCCATGGAGTGTAATAAGGTCCTAAACATTGCTGTCCAACCGCAGTTTCAAAATTTCATCTTAATATTTCCAAATTTTGAGAATGAACATTTTCAGAAATATTTAGCATCTACAGTTACAAGGAGCATCAACAGAATTATTACATGAGGTATACACATCAAAGAAAGTTTTACAAAACAAATACCAAGCAATATTATAACTGTTTCCGTATACATGTATAAGTGAGGCATGGGTGAGAAAAAGGTCATTATATTTAGATATAAAAGCATAGAAATCTTCAGTTTGGGAACAGTGGTGCATAGCGAAGATTGTACAAGGTAACTGATACAACAGTTTAAATGTTACGGATCTGACTCACCAATGCCAACAGATCTGCGAATGTAGATATGTCCACCTTTGAAACTGTCTTACTTTGCTTCTCACCATTTTCAGCTTTCTTTTTTTTATGACCTTTTCTTTTATGGACCGAACATTTACGACAAATCTCTTTGTCTTCTACTTCCGGTATTACAGAGACCGTTTTCAAAACATCCTGTCCGGGCTCGTTACACGAAACACACATTTTATAGCCAACCATGTTCGGAAACTTCGTGTACCGTCTCCCTTCTGCATAGGAGACTGTACGAAAACTGTGACTCTTCTTAACCCCTGACCTTTGAAAATGGTAGGTCAAGGTCGGAGATTCGTCATCGCTCGAAAGTGGGTCAGCTATGACAGAGATTGATATCTGAAGATTTTGTCCCGCAGTTTTCTTGCTGACTTGGCGACGTAATGTCAAAGTTTCAATGTATTCCTCAGAGTTACTATTCCTACGACCACCATGGACACAACCCATTTTTTCCCCGTTTCACTTAAAACTCAAGACACGTTTCTATTCACACAAGAGAATAAAATGTTAACAAAAAATACCATTTTCATCATCGCCACAAAATTTCCACCTGAACAAGACTTGTATTTCATTTCATCTAACACAATTTATACACACGCACATCGTATACCAAATTAAATTTATAAATAGCTTACAACTGAAACAAGACAAAAAGACAAGTGTCATAAAAAACATAAACATATGAACAAAATTAACAAATTCTAAATACTAAAAATAACCAAAACATTATGACATTTACAACTTGAAATGAGATATGTTTATATTTGGCAGCATGTTCTAAACAAGTCTATTATTCACACACGCAGCTGTATATAATTTCCCCTTTACCACAATATTGTCATTTTTAAGCCTATGACTTTTTCATCTTGTTTCCAATTAAAAGCAAACAAAACTACATGTTATTAAACTCCCTCTTCCTCCATCAGTATGTCACTCTATTCTCGCTTAAAGTAAATACGATGGAAAAATTCCTGTAAAAGGGAAAATGCTTTGAAATCACCTGGTTACCATAGCAACATGTTACAAAGTTTACCCATAATACATTATGAGAGCGGACAAAACAACAACAACAACAACAGTGCAGTATTTGCTATCGGATTATAATCATCTCACTGTATTGTGTTGCTATGCAATATTCTAAGTTATATATGGACATTGATTTTCCCCCCTGAAAAACCACAGGGAAATATTGTTACTTTCTAAATGAAAATTTAAAACCCTGCTTCCCCCGTAATTCAATACAGCAATGTGACACTAAAGTGACATAACAGTACAGGGGGTTAATGTAATTTCAATAAATTATCTTAAGACAATTATCAAAAGTCAACTAATCTGGTACATATCTCGATCTTTACTGGTCAGGGAACTATCAACTAGACACTTTTTGAACATTTTTCCATTCAGATTTCATAGTTTTAACAGCTAAAGAATTATGAAAATTTGCCAAGGTATAGCTAGGTTATTCTCCTAACTTACAAATGTTAAGTTTGTTTATTTCTGATTATGTTGACACTTACATCTGAGGCATGTGAAGGAAGGTATCAAAATTACCTAAATTGTTCACACTACAGTTCCAATTGTGTCCGGACAGATACATGCATGACGTTTTTTTTTAGATAAAAGTCGAGGTGTTTTAATTTTTTATTTTTAATATGATATAAATTATTTCAGCAGCAAATGCAGAAGTTTTGGATATTTTATTGTTTTAATTCTGAAAATGATTATAGCTAATATAATAAGTCAGGTATTGCACTTTAGATGTCCAACGTTCTTGATATAGACATTAAAATATAACCGTTTACAAAAATTGAAATAAAGTTAATTATTTAATCATAAAAGAAACATGCATTCATTGTTGATAAAAAAAAAATGACTGATTGATCAACAACCACTAAACAAAGATAAAAACTAAAATCAGGCATTTTCAGCGTTGTCTAGGTTTGATGGTTGTTGTCTGGTTTTGGTGGTCCCTGACCAGCACGTGGTACCAAATAACATTTTTGTATTTTTTATTCAAAGCTACTTTTACCTTTTACCAAGTTTCTGTTATTCTAAGATACCATTACTTGGTACCATTTAATTCTCTTTTTTCCTAAGTTACAGACACACAGACAGATTTTAATTTTAAAGACAAGACAGATTTTAATATGCTGCCATTCGAGGGCATAAAAACAAAACATCACAATTTTTTTTTATTTATCATATTCTGATTCAACATAACTTCATTCATGGCCACTTGAAAGGTCATGAAAATTACTTTCCTTTATCCGGTATAGCTATGAATAATTTCATTAACTTACCGTATTATATCCAATAAACACTTCTCTAATTAGCTCCACTTCAATATTTTACGGATGAGTCTTATTTGAAAGTATCTTTAAATCCAGTAAAATAAAAAAAAATTTAATTACATTTCACACAATAACAGTCTCATTTGCTGCATAATGGGCCTATAAATTCTCTTTTGCTTAATACTGTAATTACTAACACACCATGCCTCAAAATATATAAAATCCTTCAAAGACAATTCTAAGCCAAAATTTTACATGATTTGACCTTTAATATAGAGCTGTAGACCAGTAGGTGATGCTAGTGATGCTTACATTTGGTTAACATGTCTGGAAAATTACATTCCAGAATAGTCATACAGGAACCACAAACTTATGGACTCCAGGGCTTTTAAATCAAACCCACACCTTTTTTTTGAGTACCTTGACCTCTAATTGTGACCTTGAACACTGAACTATGAACTGGCATCTTGCGTCCTACACATCATCTAATGGTGACTGAAACTTCTGTCATATAACTCATGAGCCAATCTTTTGCTTATATTTCCCCTAAAAGGCCTTTATCATTTTAACATTTTCCTAAAAGCCTACATGTACCATTTTAGCATTTTCATAAAGGCTTGAGTGATTTTAGCATTTCCTTAAAGGCCTAACCAAGCCTGTAACTTTTTTAGCATTTCCTTAAAGGCCTAACTATTTTAGCATTTCCCTAAAGGCCTTAACTATTTTAGCATTTTCCTAAAGGCCTTGACCATTTTAGCATTTTCCCAAGGCCTTGACTATTTTAGCAATTCCTTAAAGGCCTATTTACCATTTTAGCATTTCCCTTAAGGTCTAAATATTTTAGCATTCATCTAAAGGCTCTAACTGCTTTAGCAAATAAATATATCTTAAAGCCCTTTAGAACCATTTTAGCATTTTGTCAAAGGCCTAACCATTTCCCTAAAGCCCTTTACCATTTTAGCTTTCCCCTAAAGGCTCTATCTATTTATGCATCACCTACAACCATTAAAGCATCTCTCTAAACCATACAAAACATCAACTTTGATTACTTGTTTCCCAATTTTAAGCACAACAGCTCATATGGCAGAAATTACATGAAAATATATTATGTGACACACACACACACACTTTTTCAAAGCAGTATACATTATTGACAGATGTGCTGTTGATTATTAATATTACAAACATGTAAAGTAATTATCTTAATTGTCAGATTTCATGCTAATAATGTAATTAAACTGACCTGTAACATGGTCATTTTACACACTTACCAATATAACAAATAGACAGCTTATTTTATTGAGGTCACATAACAATAAAAGCAATATTATCAATGCACTCCTTGTATAATGACAAAACAATGTCGTAGAAGTTGAAAATATGCAATTAGTCTATCCTTTTTAATGTATTTATCCACCCTTGTCCTGGTTTGAATTTAAGATTGTCAATTAATAAGAAGTTTTGGGGATCTACATGTACATACCTTAACATTAAAGGAGCTCCATATAGGAAAAAAAGCTTGAAGACATAATTTTAAAATTCATACATAGATCATTAGTGAAGCCCTAAAATAGAAAAAAATCTGCAAAGGATAATACAGAAAAACACTCAGAATTAAATTTAATATTTATTTTTGTGCTATTCTTAGCCTGATTTAAGTATTTCTAAGTCATTGTGCACAAAAAAAATGATTATTCTGAAAAACGGGATGAGGAAATGATCTGAGAATTTGCACACGAGTCTGGAGCTACATCAAATGGTACATAAATCTTAGAAAAATATTTCAAGACCTGCCATATCGAAAATACAAAGTGAAGTCCCTTTAAAATTGAGCGGGCCGGCATAGATCTTGGTAAGGCTGCAGGGATAAGCAGAAGGCTTTATTCTTGTGTAATCATTGCTGATTTCTTTGCATGGAAATCAGTACAAATCAAATTTGATTTACATTTAAAACCCTGGCATCAGCTTTGACACCTATTGCATTAATTGAACTTCCCATCCCATCAGATCCAATCCAATCCCGTACCAAGCCCAAACTACTCATTCAGATAAATTATTCAATTTCAGAGATTGCTATAGAGTTGGATTAATTCAAGTCTCTACTCCCAAGTCCCCAATGCCAACAAACTCCATATCATCCCCTTAGTGCAGAAACAGGTTAACTCCTATTAAATATAATAGGAGTTAAGCTGTTGCTGCACTAAGGTGACAATATAACTATCAGTCATCCATCCCTTAATGAAATGGAAGAATTTCAGAAAAATAGATTACAGATTTTGAGATTGATAAAGAGTTTAATTAATTCAAGTTAATACCAAGTCCCAAATACTCACAGGGGAGAATCACGCCATTTGTTACCCAAACAAACAAGATGGCGGATGCAGCCAAAAAGTAAGTTCTCCCCCTTGAATACTAACAAACCCTATATATAAGTTTCAATCATCCATCCCACACTCACTGATACTTACATAGTCTGAAGACGAGGTTTTTGGAGGGAAATCTTCGATGACTACTTTACTCATTCTATAACTTCCCTATCACCATGGTTATAAAGTTCTTAGGTTTCTACAAAGAAAAGAAAACATGCATTTCATTTTTATTTGCAATTACAGTTACATGTATTATATATAATAATAGGAACGAGAATGATTATTTGAATATTTCAAAAAATCTGCCGAATATTCGAAAAATGAAATTCTAGTTTGTTTTTTTCTTAAATTCTATTTTCAAAATCATTAACTTTCAACTTGAACAATCTATGCAGGGTCTTGTTCCAAAATCTCTTAAAAGACCGTAATCTTCACACCTTTCCAATTAAGATTTTTTCAGGCACATTTTGCCTTTCATGTGTGCAATTGTTGAGGATGACATAAAATTTATCTAAAATGCATTCATAAAATAAGGTGGATGAATACAAACATTTGTAAAAGATATCAAATAATATAATGTTCTTTCATTGAAACTAAACAATCAGGCCTTTTCAAGAGTCACCACAGGTCAAATTACCAGACCCATTTCCAATGGCAAAATAATATGGTTATTTTTTGCCCAATCTTTAACTTACAAAATTCCCAATCAAACTGAAATTTTTTATAGAACAGAACAGAACAAAGCATATACTTTATTTCTGACTTGGGCTCAACAGTTACACCCATCATCATAACATACATTTATAATTATAACAATGCTCATGTCATAATAATAATAATAATATCAGTTATATGACAAAGTTAAACAAGTTGATTGAGAATGCCAAAAATAAATTACTACATTAATTTAAATATCATATTGATATGCTAATCTACCAAATTGTCTCGTCTTTCAAATGCTTTAATACAAAATATTGCTGATTTTTTAATAACCAATTTTCTATATATATCAAGTTTCTATTTATATCAAAACTGACATATTTGCTACATGTAGTATGGTATCAGACAGAAAATTCATTGTCAAATTTTATTGTATTTTTTTTTTGCAATGATGAATCAAAGATATTTAAATTACTGGATAAAACAATTATGCACTGCTGCACAATTAAAAATACTATGCCAAAAGAGCATGAAGGAGTTTCAAAAGGTACAAAATATTTTCTCAATTAAACAATTTTACAACACAAAATTTCCCGAACTGGGCAAGCTACTTTTTCTTATTTTACTGTCTATTGTAAAGAGGCTTTGACCCCTCATGCTACTATTGAACAAAATTCTTCAAAGAACGCAATTAAAAGCAACCATAACCGTTCGGCCCCGGAAGATATTAATCAGTTAACCTCAGAGTCCCCTTGCACAGAAGACCAATAAAAAATAGGATAAATATCTTCATGTATTTATTTAATGCCTTACTAGTCTAAACTTAAAACTAATTTCAAACAAGTTTATTTCTGAGCACTAAAGAATAACTTTACTTCTGAAAAAAAAAATCCGAAACAAAACAACGCAATAATAAATTCATGATGAAATTCTTCATAAATAATTAAATTAAAGAAAGTGTTAAAAGTAAAACATACTTGTTGATTTATTTCACAATCCAAAGTCACTAATGACTATCACTGTGTTCAATTAAGTAGATATTGTGTATGCAATTTTTACTCATGTACTGTCTATTTTGATTGATTCATATATAACAAGGCAGAAAATGACTGAAAGTGCATCTCACACACTGATTGTTTTATTTATTATATATACTTGAAAGTGTCAGAAGCCTTTTTTTCTTTGTAAATGAAAAATTTGTATTTCAGTATTTAATGAGAGATTGAAAATAAAAATCAAAGGGCTGCAAGCTCTGTGGTAGTTTCTGATCTTTACAATCTAAATCGTACTGTTTATCTGTATGTATTTTCTTGTATAAGTTTATTTTTATATACTATAATTCATCTTGCAGGGCACCGAGATGCAGCGACTGCGTTTGGATTTTTTACTATACCAGTTTGAGTTTGATACAATACGGAATTTTGCATGACTATCTTGTACAAATACAATACTTATATAAATTCTACAAATTTAAAAGTAAACTAGAAATGTGTCATCACGCAACAGATGCCCCCCATGCAGCCAAAATTTTAAATGTTATAATAATATTTAGTGCCAAATTTGTTTGCACTAACTATTTTTTTCACTCTAAGTTCAAGGCCCTTAAACTATTCAATGTTAAACCACTGCAACCACTTTTATACAAAGTTGAAGGTCCTGAAACTTTTCAGTCACGGTTACTCTTTTGTAAATTGCATATTTGTAACTGAGATAATGACTACTTACATTTCGACAAAAGCACGAGTGCTGAAACTGAAAATTTCAAATTTTTTCTAACATTCAGGAAAGATAACTTTGTCCAAAATTATAGAATCATGACCAAATTCAAAGTTGGCCTGTTTATTTCTATGTCAAATTTGAGTTGAATACAACAGTTTGGTAATTAATGAACAGAAACTGAAAATTTCTTATTTTTCTCAAAGTTAAGGGGCATAACTCTGTCAAATATAATTAAACTACAACCAAATTCAAACTTGACCTGCACATTTCTATGCATATCCATATTCTAAATTTGATTTGAATGTGTACAACCCTTGGGGAGATAAAGAATGGAACTGAAAATTTCTTCTTTTATTTTCAAAGTTTAAGGGCATTTATACTCTGCCAAAAATCACCAAACCATGATAAAATTTGAACTTGAACTGCACATTTCTATGACATATCCATATTTTAAATTTGGGTTGAATGTGTACAACCTTTACAGAGATAATAAGTGGAAACTGAATATTTCTTTTTCTAAGTTAAAGGAGCATAACTCTGCCAAAATTCATCAAACCATGACCAAATTTTAATTTGAACTGTGCATTTTTTTGACATATCCATAGGTATAATTTCAGTAGAATGTGTACAACTGTTGGGGAGATAATGGACTGAAACTGATTTTTTTTTTTTATTTCAAAGTGAAAGGGGCATAACTCTGCCAAAAATAATGCATCTTATAAAAGAAATAAAAAAAATATTATTATATTTCACGATGTTATTTGCAAATACTTGATGTTTAATTTGGTGCATTTTCAAAATGGTGCCCATTTTCGGCAAATATTCTGAACAAACAATCTATGTTTTTTAACAAAGATGGCTTTAAAAAACATCATTTCCTCAAATATTTATCCTTTTTTGAAAAGTTGAAAGATTTTTAAATAACATCATGTCGTTAAAATTTTTTAACAAAAAACATTTAAAACAATAAAATGAACAATCAAGTTTAATCATGTATATATTCAAAACAGACAGCTTTGTTCTCAAGCAGGGTCATACTACATATAATACTACATGTGTAATTTTTGCTCTTGTATTTAATATTCGCCCTTTTCTTGAACACTTACATAATTTGCTTATAGCAAACTATACCGATTTATACCGAGACATGTTTAATTGTAGCGAGGAGGGTTTACATAGCGTGTTTCCAGACCATTCTATTTGAAAGACCCTGGTTCGATAGATAAATCATTCGACTACATATTGCATAATTCCTTTTTATTGAAGCTGTATCTTGGAAAGAACTGCGAGGCAAAAACCCTGATTGGGCATAAAAACCTTCTTATGGGAGTTGTTACCCTTGTCTATATATTAGTATATAGTATCCACATACTGCCAGTTTTCAATCACAACCACTTTTCAATCATCCCTAAAAACTCTTTTCTTTGGTCCTTATTTGTCATGTAACCAAACTGTAAGCACATCTTGTGTTTACCTTGACTACATTTATCAGTAACAATGTCAATTATGGCGATAAAAAACAAAATACCAGTATTTTAGTTAACAGTTACAAAATGCAATAATTTTCTAAAAATATTTGATTTTCAGACTCAGTTTTTTGTCAGTCTGCAGAAATGGATATTAAGTTCGACCACTGTTCACTATCATTAGTCATAGTGTATACTGTACTTCAAAACCTATAATTTTGGTATGCACATATTTTACCGCATGATTCTTAATTGGAAGGTAATACCTCAGTAAAGTAACAGTCAATTAACCAAGGAAAAACATTCTCTCAGATAACTTTTCAGTAAGCTGTCACTAGAAGGGGGTCATAATTACACCCTAAGATCAAAAAACAAGAGGGCCATGATGGCCCTGAAGTCGCTCACCTGTATATAGGCCCCTGAAGCAGGGCCAGTTTAAACCCCAGGGCTTTTATTTGAACAAACTTGGATTGACACCCATTAGAAGATGTTTCATGCTAAACATCTAAGGTCTAGCTGGTCAAGTTATTTCTTTACACATTTAGTTAAAAACAGTGACACACCTGGGGCAGTGCCAATTTTGACCCCAGGGCTTTTATTTGAACAATCTTTGTAGACACTTACTAGAAAATGTTTCCTGCTTAATATCTAAACTCTAGCTATTCAGGTTTTTTCAAAGAATTTTTAAGTTTTTGCTATACACATATAAGGAAAATCAATTTACCCCGGGGCGGGCCCAATTTTGACCCAAGGGCTTTTATTTGAACAATCTTTGTAGACACTCACTAGAAGATGCTTCGTGCTTAATATCTAAACTCTAGCTATTTGAGTTTCTTCAAAGAAGATTTTTTAAGTTTTTGTTATACACAAATAAGGAAAATGAATGTCCCCCGGGGCAGGGCCAATTTTGACCTCAGGGCTTTTTTTTGAACAAACTTGGTAGATACTCACTAGAAGATGTTTCATGCTTAGTATCTAAACTCTAGCTATTTGTTTTTTTTCAAAGAAGAATTTTTAAGTTTTTGCTATACACATATAAGAGAAGTCAATGACCCCCGGGGGGCGGGGCCAATTTTGACCCTAGGGCTTTTATTTGAACAAACTTGGTGACACCCATCAGAAAATGTTTCATGCTAAATATCTAAGCTCTAGCTCTATGGGTTCTTTAAAAGAAGATTTTATTAAGTTTTTACTATATGCATATAGGGAAAATCAATGACCCCCTGGGGCGGGGCCAATTTTGACCCCAGGGCTTTTATTTGAACAAACTTTGTAGACACTCACTAGAAGATGCTTCGTGCTTAATATCTAAACTCTAGCTATTTGAGTTTCTTCAAAGAAGATTTTTTAAGT